CCGGGCATGGTGGCACATGCCTGTAGTCCCAGCTACTCGGGAGGCTGAGGCAGTAGGTTCACTTGAGCCCAGGAGTTTGAGGTTGCTGTGAACTAGGCTGACGCCACGGCAGTCTAGCCCAGGCAACAGAGTGAGACTCTGTCTCAAAAAAAAAAAAAGAGTGAAAACAATCCTAATGTTTGATGAATGGATAAATAAAATAAAATACAGTATATCCATACAATGGATTATTATTCAGCCATAAAAAAGAATGAAGCTCTGAAACATGCTACAACATGGTTAAACCTTGAAAACACTCTGATAAGAGAAAGAAACCAGGTATAGCCAACTGCTAATTTTATGATTCCATTTATATGAAAATTTCAGAATAAACGAATCTATAGAAACAGAAAGCAGATTAGTGGTTACCTAGAGCTGGGGATGTGAGGTGGGTGGATGGAATGAGGGTGGCTCAGGGTTTCTTTCTCGAGTGACAAAAAATGTTCTAAGATGAGATTGTGGTGATGGTTGCATACCTCTGTGAATATACTAAAAACTATTGAATTGTATACTTCAAATAGGTATGGTATGTGAATTATATCTCAATAAAGCTGTTTAAACAAAAAGGAGGATGATTGGTCATGACCGTTAAACAATTTTTAGCTTCTCTCAAGATAGTTGCATCACAGGAATATGCTAAAACAGTAAGTATATTCATAGTATATTCATAGGCATATGCTTACAACGGTTTCGATTGTATCACCTTTTATCACATTACATCAGACAATGGGTGGATGTTTAGAGATACTTTTTCTTGTAAAACAATTCAAAGCAAAACATTCAGCAGGTTTATTAAATCTAGTTCATTTCATTTAGTATCATGTAAAGCATATCCAACTGTGTTTTGTTTAAAGATAATGAGAACAAATGACACCTAGTGCTGGTAATTTAGGATTTTGGTCTTGGTCTTTGAATAAAACATTCAGGCTTGATTACACTTTCATTGTATTGTGATGTTTGTTTTCTTTTAAGTGTATCATACTAATCAATCTTCCCGCTAAAAAGTGGGGCAAAAAAGATAGAACCCAGCAGCGGTCTGTGGGAGGGGCGGCAGGCAGGGCATTCACCAGCTCTCTGTCTCAGTCTCCCTCTGACAGCCCAGAGTATGTCCCCTCTAGGTCAGCAGCGAAAGGTTGTGGTTAATATTCACCAGAACACACAATTATGGCCATGCCAGTTACTACAATACAGAAAAACATTTCTATTGGTTGGTAAATATGTGCTGCCCTGCCTCTGTCCCCAGTGCTCTTACCACCTCCCCCACTGCCTGCCAGGACTCCCCCAAATCCTCCAATTAAAGAAGCAATGCCTGGCACAGCAGGAGGCTCGGAGACCCTGCTGCAGATGGCTGCTGTTCTGATTAGTTACAGCCTGCATTGAAAAGGTTGTTAAATACCTTTTAAAAAACATATTAATCCCCCCCACACACAGCCCTGCAGCCTACAAGAATTGTCCCCACATAATACCTGACACCTGGAACTTTCTCAGATCCACTTTCCACTTTCTCTCCCAGCATTTCCTCACTGGAGCTGGGCACTGATGGCCCCTTGGACTCTGGCCCCCAAGTTCACCCTCGCTTAGCACCATCGACAAGATCCCTGTCCTCTGCATACCCTATGCTCTAATTGTTCTGTATCTGCTATCAGTAAATTTGACTGGAAGTTAACCTTAGATTTACCAAAATGCGACAGATATAAAAGCACTGAAAAAGTATAGAGCGCCGTCTAAATGTGCGGTATTACGGATTTTCCCGTTTACTGGAAACCTAGTGATCTGACCGCAATGTACTTCCAGTTCTTACGTAACTGGGCAATCTCTACTAGAAGTGATTTGGTAAGTAGCCCAGCTGTCTACGGAAGCCTGTTTCAAGGCAGGGATAGAGGGCATGGGATTCTCTCCCCTGATTGTCCCTTGGATCCTTTTTCTCCTTGGGCCCCCCATGAGAGAGTGACAGGCTGGGTGGAGCCACGGCCCCCCGGTGGTGTTCTATAAAGAGGGACACTCACCTTAGCATCCTGCACACCTCCTCTCACCAACAGCATCCGCAGGCCTCCCGGAGACACCAGAGTTTTCTGTTTCTGTGGTGTTTCCGCGGGCCGGACTGCTGCTGGGGAACTGGGCCCGGCAGCTGTATCAGGAAAGGTGTCTTTAACGATAGTTTTCACAGCTTCAGCAAAGGCCTCAGCAGTCTTCTCAGACGCATCCACAAGGTAAATCTCTTTCAAGTAGCGTGCGTCCTGGTTTCCCTGGAAGATTTCCTTGACGGCTGAAACAATGGTCTCCACACACCGGTGTACGGGAAAGCCAAAGATTCCAGAACTAATAGCTGGGATGGCTATGGATCGGCACTTGTGTTTCTCAGCTAAACCCAGACTTAGTGTCACAACTCTCCTTAACAGGTGCGCACACCTCGGGGCCTCGCTGCTGTCCCACCGCGGCCCCACTGCGTGGATCACATGGCGATACGGGAGCTTTCCTGCCTTCGAGATGATGGCATTGCCGGGTAGGACCCTGCCGTCTCTCTTCACTATCTGGTCACAGTGGGCCTGGAGCTCGGGGCCAGCTGCTTGCGAGAGCGCGGCGGCGAGGCCACCGGAATGCCTGAGGTCCTCGTTGGCGGAATTCACCACCACGTCCACGGGGAGCCGCGTCAAGTCGCCCTGCTGCACGGTCAGCACCACGCCAGGGGCCAGGCTCCTCCGAAGGAGGCGCTTCTCCACTTCCTCCTCCTGCAGTTCAATGAAGCAACCAAACGACTGTCTGACCTCACTTTTAAAAAACCGCGCTTTTTCCTGGAAGAACTGCCTGGCTCCGGGCTTATTGATACAGACGCTTTGCACACAGACTGAATCCCGGATTTCCTGCAGGGTGTTCATTCCCTCCAGAACGTCCTTCTTTGGGCCAGTGAGTAAAATGCCTTTTTGTTCTTTCTCAGGATTGAAAGATACCTGCACATTTGCTTTCTTTATCTTTGGCAAGAATACCTTCTTTTCTGCCCTTAAATACTCTATAACTAAGGAAGACTGTATTTCAAGCAATCTCTCTATTTTCATGTGTTTTTCCAAAAACTCAAAAAGCAATGTATAGATATCATTTACTTGTCTCACAGGGCCTGCAATGATGACCTCAGCTGTGGTGTTGGAAGTTAACTCGTTGATTACTACAGTGTTTGAGGAGGAATTATGTTTCTTATGCAAACTGCAAGTGAGCTTTTTCCAGTTCTTGTCATTGAGAACTTCTTTGTTCTCAATTTCAATGCGCTTATAATTTAAAGCACTGAGCATTTGCTTTTCAGCTTCTAACAAGACTTCAGAAGAACAGCTGGTTAACAGAACAGTTGTATCCTTTAGCTCATAAATCACAAGAATTTTCTGTGCTATAAAAAGACATTTAGAGAATTCTTTACAGTCTACCTGTTGCAAAAACTGGAAAATCTCAGGAGAAACCTCAATGTTTTTCTGAGCCATGGCGAACACCTTTTCCTGGATTTCACACTTTACTTTATACACATCTGCGCAGAGTCCTTTCAAGCACATGTATTGAGTGACCGCATCATAACAAATCTCCACCTCTGGGGACTCAGCGCACAGACGTTCCAGCATACCGCTCAGGTGCAAAAGAGAATGCTTGCTTGGAGACATGGCCACTTTTTCCTTCACACTTTGCTCTTCCCTTTTAATTTTTTGTGTGGTGCTTTCCATTAATTCCTTGATTTGTAGCTCAATGTTTTGGACATCCTCTGATTTCCCCGCTAAGGTTACCATTTCCTTAAGTGTATCAAACTCAATCAAAATCCTATCATCTTCTAAGTCCTTTTTTATAATGTCCCACACTACTGGATCCGCTTTAAGTGAGGTAACTTTATATTGAGACCTCATGCCAGAGAGTGCTGCGGAAGTATCTTCCTGCCAGGTCTTGATTCTTGGTCTTCCTTGATTGACTAAGGTGGCCGCTGGTCTGATGGTAACTTTACCACTGAGTTGGGACCATGTTAGCTCACAGTGACAATGTCTCATTTCATCATTTATCTCATCAATCAGGTGATTATTTTTCTGTAAGAACTTCCATAAGGGAAGATCTAATGATTCTTCGAATGGTGCTGGAAGCTTGATCAGAGGCTTCTCTTTTCCATACAAGGCTGTGCCCAACGAGGCATAGTATGGGAACACAGAAAGCGGCATTTTATTGAAGTCAAGTTTCTTGGCCATGACGGTGTCTAACACTTAAAAGGAAAGAAATAAAAGTAAAGTAATCCCAGTGTGATATGTTTCAAATGAAAACAAAACAAAACTCTCCTATTCCAGAGGGGAAAATCCTAATGTTTGCAGAATGTTTACGTTACAACATATTAAGAAGTAGCACTACTCTCAAAGTGCTCAAATATAAATTGATATGTGCTAACAGTGCACAGGTATCCCTTATTGAATGGAATAATTACTTTCTAGCCAAAATCGCTCTATGCTGAAATCCTGTTAATTAAATTCTATTTTCTGTTTTTCTGAGGTTACTGATATATCACCACCATGGTAAGAAATAGATGAGTTTAGTCACAAGCATGGAGATAATGTTTGCCCCAGTGTAAAAAAATATTTTGGTGCTCAAAGTGAAGCTTATCTAAGTATTATGCTATTTGTTCATTTTTGTAAAGTCCCACAATTTTATGCCTCAAAGTTGACTTAGATTCCATTAATACTAAGAGGAGGAGAATGAAGATAAATCATTACAGCTTAGCAAGTGCCAGGCACTATTCTAAGTGCTTTACATATATTTAATTCATTTCATCTTCACAAGAACCATTTGAGGTAGAGATGCTATTATTATCACTCCCAGTTACAAATGATAAAGCTGAGGCTAGGAAAGGCTAGATAACTTGAACAGGGTTACACAGACGGCAAATATCTGAGCTAAAATTCAGTGTCTGTCTAACGCCAAAACCCATCCTCTTGCTCCTCTACCACACCCAAATCATCCTCACAGTTCTCCGAGAGCCCACCCCAGAGACTATGAGTCAATAAGACCCATACCTCCTCCTGCTGCTGCTACAATCTCTCTCCTGCCACTTTTACCAGGACAGTCCCTCGTGCGTGTGTGTGTGTGTGTGTGTGTGTATGTGTGTGTGTGTGTGTATGTGTGTGCGCTCACGCATGTTCTTCTCCTCATTTTGTGTAAGTTGTTAGGCAGGTACAAGGGGTATCAGCAGAGAGGGAATTATTAATAGTATGAGCTCTAATAATGAGCTGGATTAAAAGAGTATCCTTCATGGAAAGATGTTAGAAATAACTTCACCTTGTGTGTGATTGGGTCCTAGGGCTGGCGTGAGGCATGATTGGAAGAACATGGCGTCCAGAGGCCCATACATAGAGCTTCAACTTCCCAACATGGCCCTGTGGAGGCTCTGAGCCTGGGCAGTACCAGGAACCACTAACATGTCCTGAGAGCCACCGTGTGCCGAGCACTTTACAGGTATTACTTCATTTCATCCTCACAACATTCCTCCAAGGTAAGCAGTAATGTGAGCCCCATTTTACAGGTGAGAAAACAGAAGTTTCTGTGGGTTAAAGTCACTTGCCCAAGATCCAAAGCTAGTAAGCACCAAAGCCAGGATTCAATCTCAGGTTTGTCTGCCCTAAGAACCATCACGGATGTCACCTTAATATGCCTTAAAGTCTCCATCCTGTTTCCTTGCCTGTAAAGACAAAGTACCTATGTCTAATTGTGCAGGTTATTAAGAGGATTGTGAGATTCTGTGGCAGAAAATACAGCAAAAGATCTCACAGACAATAGGTGTTCTATAAGAGTGCCGTTCCTTAAGAAATAAATCGGATTTTTGTGAAGTTGAACTAAATAATTTCAGAGTGAAGTGCCCAATTTATTCCTCTCAAATAATCTACATAAGACACAATATCACTAAATAAATTCTCTTTTTACTCGAGCTTTACGTACAGTTTGCCTGACTATTGGTAACTCATTGCAAATGGTGAAATATCCTACAAGAAAAATGAATGTTATAGGTGAACAGGAGATTTGGGAAAAGGAGAGAAGGTAAGGGTATAGATTATGGCAGCGGTCCCCAGCATTTTCAGCACCAGGGACGAGTTTCATGGAAGACAATTTTTCCATGGACTGGGGTGGAGGGCGGGGAGAGGCGGAGCTCAGGCAGTGATGCGAGTGATGGGGAGGAGCTATAAACACGGATGAAGCTTGCTTGCTTGCCCGCCCCTCACTGCTCGGCCGCACAGCTGGGCCACACAGCGGTTGGGGACTACAGGGTTATGAGACCAGACTACCCAGGTTAAAATCCTGGCTCTGTCACTTACCAGTAATCTTGGGCAAGTTATTTGACCTTTTTATGCTTCAGTTTCCTCTGAATTTGTAAAGCAGGGATTATAATAATCAAGACAGTGTCTGCAAATGTACTTACTAACATCCTATGCAAACATAAGTTATAATTACAAGGAGAAGCCAGAAAGTGAAAAAGAAAATCAGTGTATCTCAGAGGTGGAGAACAGGAAATGAGTGAGTTTAGAGGAGGAGGTGTGATCCACATGGTCAGGTGGTGCAAAGAGGTCAGGGAGAAAGGGAGCCTTTGAGAGTGCTCCGTACGGTTGACATGAATAGCTCTGGCATAAAATAAACCTTAATTCAATAGATATCCCAAGGACACACCCAACAGCCCCATGCCCTCAAGATGTTTGAAAGCCCTGAAATTGTCAACTCCCACCATAAGCTCGCAAGTCAATTTCTAGGGTAGACAATTTTATATACCTCTCTCCCTGGGCACAAGACCAGGCTGCTGGAGATTTGAATACATGACAGAAGCTTCTCTTTGTCCCTTTGCCCAAGGAATACTAGATCTTTCATTCCACTTTAATCCAAACCATACCTTCACCCCCATTTTCTCAACTCATAAAAACTGAGTTAGGAAAAGGGAGGGTCCTCCCAAGTACCCTGTTGAAACAATTTGCGTGTCCCACCCCAATTAATCCCAGGTGTTCCTTCTTTCCAAAGAAGTCTGGCCCCTTAATTCCTACTGCTCAGTCTTGACCTCGGAAAATGAGTGGAATCTCCAAGCTGACTTTGCATATGCCTCAGAGAACTGGCAGTCTATGTCTGCAAAACCCTCGGAAGTGTTTCTGTAAAGTTTAGCTGGATGTGGTCTTCACAAGGTCTCTCCAGACAATAGTCCAGCAGGGAACCACTGATCATGTTAAACTAACCCTATTAATTTCTGAATGATGACAATGATAGGTGAAAGGGGAAGCAGTGACACTTTTGTAGGAACTGTATGTGTCACTGAGCATTTCTTTACCTAACTTTATTGAAATTAATTTGACAGTTTCTAGTAAGTATGTGGCTAAAACAGAGATCATTTCTTTAAAATATAATATTTCAAAGATTCCAAGAATGATATATTTTTCAGCCCGTCATAGGTGGAGACTCATAAGAGAATCTCCAAAAATTTGATGTTGCTTCTTTTAAAAATTTTTTTGAACATCTTTCAACATCTTTCAAAAATTTGATGTTGCTTCTCTAAAGTTTGAAACACTGGCCTCATTAACTATCATATCCCAGATGAACAGGATTATTAATTCAACTTCCAATGAAATATATGAATAAATAAAGTGCATCAAATTGACAGCCATTAAGCTCTGCTAAAAATGGCCTAGATTATGCCAGGTATGACAGGATAATAAATATTACCTTTTCTGTCAAAAAATTCAATCAGAGCTGAACTCTCTTCAGGAAAACATTCAACATTGGCAACTCTTCCCCCTCCATTAAAAGGGTTTTCAAAGAAAAGTTTTAAATTGTAGTCATCAGCACCAGGTGGCAGGTTTTCAACCCTGATTGTTTTTGTCACTTCCAGAAGTCTAGGAGAAAGCTGAAGTTGTTTAGTTGAATGGTGCCGGGTGCAATCATCAACAAATTTCATGGTATCTACGAACCAAAAAAAAAAAAAAAAAAATCAGTAAGTTATGACTGTATGTAACTATCTGCCTAGTAATTGAGATAAAGGAGAAAGCCAAGCACTCCATTTTTAGACACAAGATTTTAATACCTACATGAAAATTCTCGTCTAAAACTCCCAGTCTCTGAACGACGCACATATGAAGGTCTTACCTAGATTAAAGACACTGAGCTGTGTCCCCACCTCCTGTCACAGCCCTCACCAACCCTTCTGAGTGCTTTCTCTATAAATCTCCTTCTCTCCCTCCTTTCTTCTCTGGCTCCCAGTTACCTGCAGATAGGAGTTCACGCTCCTTAGCCACACTCACGATGCCTTTGTCTATTGGAATCCAAACTAATTTCCAGTTGTCACCCTTGGTTATTCCCTGTCATTCATTTTATTTTCCATGCTGCCACAAAAACTAGTCATTATTTTGAAAACCCCCTTCTTTTTTTTTTTGCCTTCATATATACAATTTCCTGTGTCTAAAATGCCCTTCTCCAATTTTTTATCTTGGTCCAATTCATCCTTCAGGATGCAGCTCAACTGTCTCTTTCAAACCAATAAATATCGATGGTGGGCCCACAATGGGCCAGGCGCTGTGCTAGGATCTGGGGATACAGAATAAATACAACGAGCCTTTGCCAGTTCATCATGCAGGAGGGAGGAAGTCTTGAGAGCAAATAAGTTGTCTACTGTGGGATCAAATGAGGTGGCAACACTAATACTGGGAATCAGACAAGGATTCCCAGAGTAAGTAGTCTCTGATCTGGGTTTTGAAGGATGAAGAGGGGTTTACCAAATGGATAAGGAAAAGAAACATGTCAAGCAGAGGGAACATATTTTGGACATGATTGGTACTGTTGGAGTATAAACATCATAGGAGCAAGAATAAGCCACCTCATTTGGGTCCCCCTTCCTCCCGTTTCCCACAGCTAAGAGAGACAGGGCTAAGAGAGACAGCTTCTCCTCTTGCACCTTCCCTATTCATTTACGTATGGGCTTCCTCCCTGACCCCAGACTGTGAGTTCCTCAAGAGCAGGAGCCATGATTTACTCACCTTTGTACCTATAGCACCTAGACCACTGCCTGGCACACAGTAGGTGTTCAGGATTTGTGATCAATGATCAAAAGCAAATCCATTTAGTTTTTCCTTTATAAGAAATAGTATTAAATTTGAAATAAGAACAGCTCCCTTAATTGAGTCCTTACCTTGTCTCAAGTACTCTGCAAAGTGCTTTTCAAACATTATCTCATTTAATCTTTACAGAAACTATATCAGGTAGGTATTATAACCCCCATTTTATAGACGAGAAAAGTGAGGCACAGGAAGGGTAGTAACTTGGCCAGCCACATATAACTAGTTAAATGGCAGAGCTACAGTTTGGACTCCATGACTTGTGCTCTTAATTAACCACTCCACTGCCAAGGCCATGGAGTAGTGAGGGCTTAGAATTAGAAAATGTCGTTGTTTTAGGTGGTCATGGCTCTTCCTAATCTCAGAAATTTCCTAAGAAAGAGTCACACTTTCAGAGATGTTCCATTAACAAGGTGTCTCAAGTCCCAAGGTGTGGTGCAAAGAATACTGGCATACGAAGCATCACTTGCTCTTACCTATATGTTTTTTAAAGGTAACTACAGCAACATCAAAATCTTGTATTACTTCCAGTTCAAAGTCATCATTGGACAGGCCACTTATGTTCTCCACTAACAAGATTAACATTGTGTCAGTCACCCTTTCCTTGAGATTTTCAAATGCCACCAAGGAGGGAATATTTTCACATTCTTTTGGGATATCTTCCATTTCTTCCAATCCTTCATTGAGAGAGAGTTTTGTTTCCAGTTCTTCTGACACATCTGATTTTAGGGAGACAAAAGAAGTACAAGATATTATAGTTACCTAACATGGTCTTAGCAAAGTAAGTTATCATACGACACTATCCTCTTTCCTTCCCAATCTCTTGGCTAACTCACATAAAAACAGATCGTGGATGGCTTTTTGCTTTATTTAATTACAAACAAAATGTAGCATTTAATTGTCTATTATTATTATTTAAGTTCAATTTTTTCAATTTCATGTTGACAAAGTAGGTCTTTATTTTTAAGATCATTGCCATTATGGGGAAAAAAGATTCTCCTTTATTGCTTGGTGGATACATAAATTAACCTTTATGGAGATTGATTTTTAAAATTTGTCCATAATTATTAGTGATAAGAAAAAATATTCATTTTACTTACCTAAGAAACAGTCACTTATAAAATGATTTACTTTTTTTTTTTTTTTTTTTGAGACAGAGT